GAGAGTATGATTGTGCATGTAAGAGGGTATAGTAGTGTTTGTGTAAGAGTATAGTGGTGTATGTATGAGAGTATGATTGTGCATGTAAGAGGGTATAGTAGTGTTTGTGTAAGAGTATAGTGGTGTATGTATGAGAGTATGATGTTACATGTGAAACCAAGTATGAATTATGTCTCAAAGGGCCTCTCATAGCTTACCTCTGGGTAATTTGGAAACATTGCTAAATACCCAGATAGTTTTCAGCTGAAAAAAATTGGTTTAGGGGGTTGATGATCTCATAAAAGTACATTTGCAAGACATTTCCACCAATAGCGATAAAAGAACTAACTTTATTTTTGTCTTCCTTCCTCAAAGTTGGCACACTGAAAAGGGAATAGACCATTTTCAAAGACATATAGTCATCGTCATCAGTCCTTCCTTCAATTCTCAGGAGAACATTGAGGGAAAGAAAATTATTAGATGGTGGTTTTATTTTGGTGTAACAATTCGGACCTTTTAGGTATATCTGTTTTTACCTTATTATGATACACCTGCGAAATGTGTTGTGAAGCCACGTCTTCCTTTTTTTGTTGTTTCACATTTGTCTGATGGGAGCGCTAAGACAGACATGAATAAAGGCGAATTCAGATGGTAGCAGGCATTGCGTCACTTTACTGCAGCGTCAGGCTGCGCTCTGGCAAAAGTTGACTCTGGATCAACTTTTTTACTGTGTGCCGCTGCTAGTTTTTTCGGCACCTCTTGTAGTCCGCACTGGATTATCTGTGTTTTTCCTGCAGTGCCTACTACCATCAGAATGCCTCTAAATTGCATGTTTAAATTGGTAAACATTTAATAATTAGCAATCTAAAAGCAGACAGTACTCTGTTTACATTGCCAGAATGTCTCATATAGAAAATGTAAATGATTTTTTAAAAAAAGAATAATTCACTNAATTAGCAATCTAAAAGCAGACAGTACTCTGTTTACATTGCCAGAATGTCTCATATAGAAAATGTAAATGATTTTTTAAAAAAAGAATAATTCACTTTGAATGATAATTTAGTCATTATCTACTCACCCTCATGCCAATACAAGGACGAGTGAATTTTTTCAATTCAAAAACACTCCTGGAGTTTCACATAAAAACAGCCTGCAGTCTCCTCCCTAACAACTGACATCAAAAGCGTCTTTGTTGCAAACATAACAAAACAACTAAAAAACACGTAAAATGCCTCCATACTGCTCATCTGGTGTAACCCAAGTCTCCAAAAGCCCCAAAGTTGACTTGAAAAGTCATAATTTACATCATGTTTTTAGTAGAAATCCTTAGATGGGAGCTATGTTCACATGTCTGACCTGTGGGTGTGAACCGTAGGTGTGCTTGAACATGACTCAGAGCTAAGAACCTGAGAATTCCGGCCTGAAAACATGGTGTAAATAAGTCAACTCTGCATGTTGGGGCTTTGGGAGATTTGGATTACACCAGACCAGACCTGGAAGCATTTTAAAAATGTTTTTCACGTTTGAAATGTAGTCACTGTTTAATGCAATTGTTTGGGAAAATGCTACAACTGTGAAACTCCAGGAGTGTTTTTTGGACTAGAACCTTTTAACAGCATGAAAGAGCATGAAAGTGAGTAGATACTGACTGTATTTTCATGTAAAGTGAAATATTTCTTTAAGCATGTTAAAAGAAATGGTAAAAAAACTTCTCAGCGAATCTTATTGTGTCATTTTTTCCCCTTTTTCCTCACAGATGCACAAAAGATCCAACTGATTGCTGCCAATTTGGAGGAGGATTCTTCGTTATCTGCCATGTTGCACTGTCACTTCTGGTACAGATTCATTGACCTTTTGTGGTATGTTTTGTTTTCACTTAATGCACTGTGTAGGTAGGATTCTAAATTAAAAGATGCTTGTCCACAAATATTACCAGAACTACAGTTTACAGAACCCCCAGGGGTCAGGAGAATATTGTAGAAAATAATAGAAAATTGAACTGGAAAAAACAAGCTAAAAACAGCAGACCACCACCCTGTCAATGACTCTCCACCTGTTTCAAAGGTGAAATTATGAATTCATCATGATAGTAATGCTAACAGACAAAATAGAGACATGGAGAAATATAATTTTTAGTTTTTCAGTACCTCCTGGAGGGCTCTGAAGAACTGTTTGTGAATAATTGGTTGATATTGTAAATTTACATCTGAATACATTAAATAAACGGTTTTAGAATCAGTTGTGGTTTGTACTTAATTTATAATTATGTTTCCCCTCCCCACTTTAATTGAAACTGAAAATCTTTAGATGTATCTACTTTGTATTTCTTAAGTATATTTTCAGTTGAGGATATTTCACAATAATCTTAAAGATTATATTTTATGAGGATTGGAAAAAACATCTGCTATTAATCAGTACAGTAGTTAAAATATTAAATATATTACTTTAAAACTGTAATTCTACAAAAAACTGAATCATTAAATATTGGAGTTTGTACTTCTACAGTTTTTTTTAACATTATTTTACATCTAAACAAACACTGCAAGTTACAGATGATTTTAATCTGTTTTACACAATGTATTCAGACTTCTTACTTTGTTATTTTACAATCTTGAGCATGTGTTGACACTTTATTGAAGGCGTTTGATTGTAATAATTTAGGAAAAATCTGTCAAATTATGGAATTTTCTGCAGAACCTTTAATGAAAATGTCTGTAAATGTAAGGTTTTTTAGGATATTTTACTTTCATTTTACAGTTTTTGTTTGGCAGCCATTGCTGCCAGTCATTTGACTGTATTTTAAAGGTGTTTGGGGGTTTATTGAAGGTGTTTGATCATAATAATTTAGTAAAATCTGTAAAATTACAGTATTTTTCTGCAAAAATGTTAGAATCGTCACTTTATTGAAAGTGTTTGATTGTAATAATTTTGTAAAAATCTGTAAAATAACAGTATTTTTCTGCAGAAATTTTAGAATTATCACTTTACTGAAAGTGTTTGATTGTAATAATTGAAGAAAAATCTGTAAAATAATGGTATTTTTCAGCAAAAACTTCAGAATTATCACTTTATTGAAGGTGTTTGATTGTAATAATTGAGGAAAATTAAAATATATAAAATAACGGTATTTTTCTGCAGTACCTTTAATGACAATTTATGTAAATTTAATGTTTTTGCACTTTATTTGAATTACAATATTTTACTTTTATTTGACAGTTTTTGTTTGGCAGCCATAGCTGCCAGTCATTTACCGTTTTTTTTAACTTTTTTTTTTTTTTTTTACCTTGCAGATATTGTGTGTTGCGCTGCGTTTCTTTGCAAATGGAAGTTTTTTGTACAATGTCGGAGATGCTGAGCACTTGAGTAGGCTAAGGCAACTGTATGCAGAGCGGTCAGAAAAGTGTGCTCGTTTTACAGGCATCTTCTTTCTGTTGGCTGAGTAGAAGTCTGTGTTAGTTTAAATAGGCTTAATTAGCCTATTTAACAGAACTGATATAGATGAGAAGACATTTATGTGTGTGAAAACAGCATTATGTTGGGGATAAAACAACTGCACAGTAAAACAGCCACTTAATATTTAGCTACTTTACAATGTATAGCGTGATCAAAATGAGGTACCCCCATGAGATTATGCCGAGGTCTTACCTGTTTGAACAATGTTTTTATATTTCATCCTAAACTGCTGCCAAGTACGCTTCTCCCCCGCGGGATTGCACCTAAATGAAATAGGCTAAATTAATAGGCTACCATTCAAGCAGTTTTCCCCTGTAATATTATTGTGATTGCAAGGGACTACTTACCTAAACTTACGCATTGACCCGAGCAGCAATGTTCTCCCACGCCGTCTCCCTCTCTTTTGCAGCTGCAGCGGTGTTGCACTTCTTTTTGAAAACGTGTTCAAACTCGCCGTATGAGCGCATTAAGATTTCCAATTCTAGTGGGGTGAAAAACGCAGCCCTCCTCTTCCCCGTTGCCATGGTGACTCGTCGAATCGGGGCTCCATTGATGCTGGCTTTTTATAGTTGTGGTGCACGCGCTTGACTCCAGGTGAAACTACCAAAGAGCATGGATACCAAGAGGCGAAGCTCAATAGAACGCCCCATAGCAACAGACTCGACCATGGTTTCGTCTTACCGCCGCCATATTGGACTGTCAGCAGACCGCAGCAGACCCGCTTGCATACATGAACACACAGACAAACTGAAGTATATCGCTATTAATTATGCTTACAATGCTACTCACCTCGTGATAGCTTGGTCACAGCTGCTTTTTCACGTTTTTGTAAAGCAAAATATAGACTTTAAAAAAAACAAAACGAGGAAAAACGGCCTAGAAGGCATCTCTCTCTCTCTCTCTCTCTCTCTCTCTCTCTCTATATATATATATATATATTTTTTTTTTTTTTTTTTTTTTTTTTTTGGTAGATTGGCTTCCCTCCAAAACTGGCATATTAAATGGATATTAAAACACTTTAAAACTTACACCTCAGGAGTTCTTACCTGTCATGGTCCTTCGGGAAACGGTGGAAGGCCAGGTGCGGGGTGTTCCACTAATAGTTGTTGCAGTTAACTGCACTACACTGTTTTCTTTTACTTTTTTTCTCCTCTCTCCTTGACATCTTGCATGTTGTCTGGGCGTAACAGTCCAAGCTCAACAGTCCAAAATGGCGGTAGCGCCCCTAGTGGCTGTTGGCAAAAATTCAACGGAGCTTCGCCTCTTGGTATCCATGCTCTTTGAAACCACTCCGAGTTGATTAAACTGATTCAAACCAGCTGTTCTGGAACCGGAAACTCAGAGTTTCCTATCTCAGAGTAGATCAACTCAGAGTTCAGGATTAGACTCAGAGTTTGTTGAACTTGCTTTGTGAAACGGACCCAAGGTCACGAGATAAACCACACAGAGAAACCCCTGGTTATCGTGGCAACTAAACCCGGAAGTTGTAGTATCCATGACAACAAGGTAAGGTGACGCTCAACCGGAGAAAAGTAAACTGTTTTCAGTAGAAGCTGTGGTTAGCCCGTCTTATTGCTCTGACAGAGGAGTACGATGTCCCGCAAAGCGCTCAAAGTGGTGGTTGAAATAAAGTTCAGAGCGGTAAGATCTGTCATTTTCCTCAATTATTCTTAACCTATCCTCTGCATGTACCCTGTGTCTGTAAGCAGAGAATGGTACATCACAAACCAAACCGCATTCTGATCTTTGTCAGTTTAATATTTTCTTACCTACCGGCAAAGGCACATATTTGTTACCACCGACTTAATGATGCTGTACGAAGCGTTAAGGAATAGGCTACAATTCGGCGTGTAGCTAATGCACAAAATACGTGTTTAATTGATTCAGTTACAACTTTAAGACTCGGCTCACTTGTTCCCTGACTTACTACCCACCATAAGCGGGTATACGCAGTACCTGCATAGTCTGTGTTGTGTTATTATTTATTTAAGTTAAGAATAAACTTCTTCCACCATTGTCTGCAGGGATGAACAGGCAATGTGAGATTAGTGTGTATACGGCCTTTTAATTACAGTTTCAGAAATATGTAGGCCTATGTATTACATAAACGTAATTTTTTTTTTTTTTTTAAAAAAAGGTTGGGCCTCATATCTTCATGAACTAGCAGAAATCGACCTCATTATCAAAGGCCAAATTCAAAACTGTTACCATGGTAGTCACTTGGCTGATAGTTGTAGGCTCTTGTAGTCTCATTACACCTGCAAACAGAATTATATATGTGTACAACTACTAAATAAATCTGAGAAAAGATAAAGAATAACTGAGATAAAAAAAAAATAGAAGGAGTTGCTTTTCGTAGTATGCTTTTATGAGTGCACCTGTATTTGACGACATCAAAGCTTTGCCTTGCTTGTTGTGATATCCAGTTACATTCAACCAAACATGATCAGTGCTTCCTTGGTAAGACGGGTCCTTCCAAGTCAGGTCTTACAGAGGTTAGGCAAGACTCCTTCTTTGTATTCAGTGAACGCACATTGGAACAGGCTAGCAGCTGCCCAGGTGTGTCAGTGAAGAGGCCTCACCTTCAATACCAGCAAAGTGTGTGCAATGAATTGCTTCATGCAAGGATACACACATGCATCCTTGAAAATTTTGATCGCTTTACACCTGTGTGAGCTGAAGATTCTTATGAAAATATGGGGGAACATGGAAACTGTCAAAAAAAAGCCCCCAAACTGTAACTTGTAGCCATTAGATTTTTACACTATGGGTGACCGCAGTAGTTGAACATGACATTTTAAGTGGGCACACTGTTTAAATGAAGGGGGAATCTGTTAGTTGAAATGGGGAAAATTGAGAAGGCTCGTAGGAGGTCAGCTATATCTCCTGGAGCTAACGAGCTTTAAAAGTCATCATTAAAAATTTAAAATCCACTCTAAGGTAGACTGGAAGCCAGTGAAGTTATTTTAAAACCGGTGTGATGTGTTCTCTCCTGTTGGACCTGATTATGAGTCTGGCTGCAGCATATTTAGGCTCCAGTCACACAGACAGTGTTACGCAGGTTGCAGAATGTGAGGTGCACCACACTGCCTTTTTAAAAAAAAAATTGAATAAATAAAAAAAAAATTGAATGTCACTAGTAAAAAAATGCTTGCGGCACATTTTATTGTTGCATGGTTAACTTAGTGAGTGGCATGTATGGCAGGTAAGACGTGTACACTGTGACCGGGATCACATGATGAAGTAATGACATTTTATATCCAAAAGGTCAAAGGTCAGCTTCACTGTGAAATCATAATGTTCTGCAAAAACACTTTTCTGGCCATTATTCAACATCATATCTCAAGAACAGAAGACGTGACATTTGGTCAGACACTGAATTGGTGACACTAATCTTGGGTGTTCACTTTGAAACTGTGCTGGTTGTATAGATCCTCTGTCCTGCTGGGGGGAAGATGTGTGTGAAGCGTTCTTGTTTTCACAGACATGGATGTAAACTGTTACTGCAAATTTATAGGTTTGCAGGAGCATACAAGTGGTAACGTGAATGGAAAACAGACAGGGCCCATGATCAGATCCCTTTGAAGCTCCATATTGTAGTGGTATGGAAGCTGATTGATAATTTCCAGTTTCCACACAGAATGACCTTGCTGAAAGAAAAGAGCAAAACCATTTATATCCAAAGCAAAAAGTCTTAATCCTCACCAGTTGATGAGCCATGTGAAAGACATAAGAAGTCATAGAAATAGAAATAAAGGAGTGGCATTTTCTTATATTGCATTGTAAAACCTATAAATGATTCTGACGTACAGTGTGGAATAATTATTTGTTTTCCAAATTCAAAGTGATTTCAGAGGGAAAGGGGCCTTCAGTGTTCCTTTAAACAGCATAAAGTAATATGAGACTTTTGTTACCCTCCAATAAGAGCCAGTGAAAATGGCTCAAGCAAAGTATGGATTATACTTATGACTCTATTTGATTGTACTAATATACAGTATGCTCCTCCACTGCTCTCAGGTTTCTTGTCCTGGAGTTCATCTGCCAGCCAAGGATGACATCTACCTCAGCATATGCTTCATGGGCCAGTACTGTCAGTCTGAATGTCTCCCCGCCGTCTTTCCTCTGCTGTTTCATGAGATGATGACCTTTGAAAAGGCAGGTCTTTACTTATTATCTCTGCAGGAGAAAGACAGCTGTGATTAAATGAGGTTTGAATAATGTGAATGATAAAAATAGCTGACATGGAATGTGTGTAATTAGTTAGATCCAGTTATTATGCCTAATGCCATAAATAAACTTGACATGACTGTACTCACCAATATGAACTCTTGTAGATAAAGTACATAAATATTCTTTGTAGAATAACAACCCATTGCCAGAAAAATGTTGACATTGTATGTCTGCAATCCATTGATACATTACATTTGTACAATATCATGTATCAGAAACGTTACATTTCAACAATGCTGTGATTAATGTGTGGTTAGGTTTAGGCATGGTCAGGGAAAGATCATGTTTTGGCTTAAAATACCCAGTTTTGGGGGCACAATCCCTGCTGGAAAAGTGGTGATGCCTCAGTAAAAAACAACCACTTTTCACTGAACTACCCCAGCATCTAAAGCAGTGATATCTTGGTAAAAAATGGCTGCTCTTCATGGCTCCATCTCTGAATGAAATGCAGAGATGTCCAGGTAAAACACAACTGATCGCTAGTGGCACTATCCTCGCTGGAAATGCAGTGATGTCTTTGTAGAAAACAATTGCTTTTTGTTGTACTATACTGGTAGAAAATGTAGCAAAAACAGGGGTGGGTTGTTAAACGTTTGGTGGCTAAAAAATCCGCTGGAAAACAGCAGCAGGCCACTCAATAACACTCAATTGTGTGTTTTGCTTGCAGTACAGATGTTTTCTCAGATCCTTGCAGACATGGGAAGATGACAGACAACCCTTGATGAGGGCAGAAAATTAATTTGTAACCAAATCATCAGAATAAAAGTTGGCATTGCACATTTCTGCAAACCACAAATGTTACATTTGTATGTTATTATGTAGTATTTAAACTTTTGTGTTTCTTAACATTTCAACAACACTGTGGTTAACGTGTGATTAGATTTAGGCACTAAAACCACTTGGTTATGGTTAGGAAAAGATGTTTTGGCTTAAAACACCCAGTTTTGGTGCCACGATCCCCAGTGGAAATGTCTCGGTACTGCTTTTGGTGGCAAAAAGAGCTGCTGGAAATTCAGAAACGGGTCACTGGTCTTGAACAGTGGTCTACACCTTGGCCAGTGTCTTATCTACAGTAGGTGTCACACATCCTCTCCTTCTCCAGAAGACAAAGCCAGCTTAAACACTGCATCACTTTAGAAATGTTGATTTGATATGTATGAAACATACAAATGCAATGTGTCCATGGTTTTCAGAAATGTACAGTGCCAACATTTTCTCCTGGTGACTGGCTGAAAATAAGAAAGCCAAATAAAAAACATGAATATTGTGTTCTGTCTAGATTTTCAGGCATGCAGTTGATCCTGGAGACATTGCTGTGATGCTTGAGTGTAAGTTATTTCAATATACAGTTCCACACACTGTCTTTGGCAGATGTTGCATTAGTTCAGTGAGGACCACTTTTGTCAAAGAAAACCTTATTTTTCTATTTACAGTATTTAGCAGTATGGCTCTGTTCTGGGGCCTCTCTGCCTTTACTTGGGCCTAAGCAGAAAGCCTTAGCACACCTCTCCGCCCTACGGCATGCCTTTGTGGAATGCCTCAGGTGGAGAGAGCACACTTCTCTTCCCTTCCACATGCCTTTGTGGAAAGCCTTAAGGCAGAGAGAGCACACCTCTCTCCCCGTGTGTCATCACCGGCTGGTGGCTGGTACCAGCACTGGGTCTAACCTGTGTAATGGCAGCAACAGAAGGTTTGCTGATCCAGCGGGGAGTCAAGGCTGTCTGGTCTCCTAAAGCTGGGGCGCTGACTGGGGGTCCATCTCTGGCGTGTGAGGCGGAGGACACGCTCTGATTCGAGGCTCTAGCTAACATTATTTACTTGAAGTCGCAGCAGTTAGCCATTGGATCCAGTTAGCAGAAGGCTAAACTATTAGCAACATTTTCTCCATCTCTGAAACACTCTGCAGATATTGTCATGTGTTTTATTTCATTTATTGTCAGACTCTCTTTTAGACTCTCTTTTTGATAAGTCCATCTTCCTTTTTTGCAGTGTAGGCTGTCTTTGCCATTGCTGGAATAGCAACTTTCTCAGCAGGATTCTCTACCATTGAATCAGGCGTTCACCATCTGAGGGGAGGTGCGCACACATCTGCATTTGTAGATGAGCCAATATGAATGCCCTCTTTTTGAAATAACCTGTGATTGGCCAAAGTCACAGGCTAGATTTTCTAACACCTAGAAACAGAGTCAAGAGGACCACTTGAATTACAATATGCTCAAAGTTTATTACAGGATTTTTGTTCAATGATGCCAAAATGAATCTGCCTACCCCAGTTTTAAGGCCTACAATATTTCTTTAATATCTCTATAGGGATCTGATAATGTAACAGGTTTTGGTGATTTTAACACAAGTTACATGATTTTATATAAATTCTAATGTCACTGTAACTTTTAAACATTCCTGTTGTATGATACTTCTCTGTCATCTGTGTCGTATTTCTGCCATGCTGCTTTACATGCTACATTTATCTTACTTTTAATTGAATATATAGTAATGTGTTATATTTACTTTGGTCCTAAGAGGCCAGCCTCAGCTTCATATTCATAGTCTTATTCATATGATGTCAGTTTAATATAAGGCCATAGGGACTGTTGGTCTGTGTCCTGTCATAATGCTACCAGAGAAGAGTAGACGCCAGTTTACAGCTGAGAAACTATTGTTCTTCTTGACATACATGATACTGTGGATCTGTCTCAACTTGATACCTTTTCTCTTTAGATGAGACAGTCACAATAGAATTGGTGCAGCTTATTCCTCCAGGTGAGGTTATTTTTCATATTCATACTTTTGTTCCACTGGTTACAATTCCACCCATGTATATTGCCACAGTCACTTTAACCCCACTCCTCTTGCCTGTCTGCACACAAGAATGTGGATGCCTTCATTAAACTGCCCATAAACATGATTCCAGCCAGAATAACCTTTGTCAGAGTATAACAGAAGTGTGTTTGTGTCTGCAGTGGCAGACACTCTGGCTTACTTTGAAGAAGACACTCGACGATTCTTATTTCCAGAACCTAAACTGGTTCCCTCCTTCTCTGGAGTGGATCGAGAGATTCTGATGACCCGAGCCCCTCACTTTCAAGTAGGTCCAACCATATGACACATTGCTTGAGCACAATAATGTTGTTTATTTTCAATGTGGCTTAAATGGACAGCTCACCCCAAAATCAAAAAAAAAACATTCTTCTTTCTCTTGAAGTGCTGTTTATCAGTTTTGGTGTGAGTCGCTGAGTGTTGGAGATATCAGCACTAGAGATGTCTAGTGTCTTCTCTCCAATATAATGGAACTAGATGGTACTGAGGTTTTTGTACTCAAAGCACCAAAAAACAACAACTCAGCAGCATTGTCTCTTTCCGGAAATCAGGACGTGGTTACTCAAGATAATCCACAGACCTTGTTGTGAGCAGTTTCATGAAGGAACTTTTTTTTTTTTCACCAAACGACACCCGCCAATTGTATCATCGCACACAAGGAAGCATGCATCTACTGCTAGCTGACTAAGCACCACTAAGCTAGCTAACATTACAGCTCAGCCGAGGATGCCATTAATGTTTACATCTTGTGCTGTCACCAGCAAGAGCCATTTGTCCATGAGTAGATGCACACTTCCTTCTGAGTGGTGATACGATTGGTGGGTAAAGTTCTGAAGAAAGACAGTAGTTCCTTTGCGAAACTGTTCACAACAAGGTCTGTGGATGATCTAGAGTAATGATTTCTGGAAAGAGACTTTGCTGCTGAGTTTTTCAAATGTATTTTTTTGTCACTTTGAGCACCACAAGCCGAGTGCCATCTAGTTCCATTTTAGATGGCAGACGGCAGACATCTCTACAGCTGATATATACAACACTAAAACTCACACCAAAACTATCCAGACTGATAAATAGCACTACAGGTAACAGGAAAAAAATGAATTTTTGATTTTGGAGTGAGCTGTCCCTTTAAAGGTACTATGTGTAGCCTGTGTATATTGATACATCACTAGCACATTGTTTTTCACATATTATCATATGGCTTTGGCCACAGTGGCAGGGAAATATAAAAATGTGATAACTGACTATTAAAGTGATCTATTTTTCCCAGGGCATTGCTCCAAGGTTGGAGTTTTCCACCAAAACAACCATCATTGAGTGCTCAGCTGACGCCGAGATCAACATTTACCCCAATGTACCCATGGTAAAGATTATATAATGTGGTTAAAAATGTATGTAGATGATGTATCAAAGTCCAACATGCATATCTGAGATGAGTAGATATTTGTCAAAAGCAGGCCCATACACCTGTCCAAATCTACTGTCTTTTATGGGTCACTTGAATTTGAAGTGCGGCCTTTCAGCAATAATAATATTGCACCTATAATCTATGTAGCATTTTTAAATAAAACACAATATCAACAAATATATTTATAAAATAGAAGACAAAATCAGGGAATAACAATTTTTATGCTGTCCACCTTATTCTAGCCCCCTTGATACCTTGCGTAAATTATGGCAGTAAGGAACCAGAGTTTTTCAATTGTAACAATAAGCTAATGGTACGCTAATCCTCTTTCCTGGAGCGATAGGCTATATGCACACTGTGGTGATGACGTACTTGTGATAAAAGCTAAGATAGCCACATCACTCCCAGGCTATAATTCCGCTGCGCTGGTAGCTGTTATTTTTTTCAAGCGGTGATAGTGTCTCAAAAATAAGGTTCAATTTCAACAAACAGAAAGCACTACAGCTGAACATGGCTGTGTGCCTCTTAGTCAAGCTTCCAGTAAGAAGTACTTAGTTTTCATGCTTTTCCCTCCAATGTGGAAACCAGGCGAAAATGGATTGTCGCTATCCAGAGGGAGAAATTTACTGTTAATTTGCATACCCGAGTTTGTAGGCGACATTTTAAAAAAAGACTGGGGGTTTGGGAGCAGAGACAGCGACCGACGGGTACGACACAGGATGACACACCGGAAGAGGAGGCTACAATCCCAAAGACCACGACTACGCTTCCGCTCTGTATCCTGCAGTGGTCGACTTAGCTTTTGATGAAAACCTGCCCCCCAGAGAGAAGATCCTAAAGCTGAAGAAACAAATCGAGACGCTCACTATAAAGCAGCGTTTTGGCATTCACCATTTTGCTGGCTCAGAAAGATACATCCGTTTTCTCATGAGGTAAGATGTCGATGACTAAGATGACTATGCAGACACAATAGTCATCCCAAACTGCACTGAGCTGAGGTGCCAGTGCCCATCTGCATCTCTTCTCCAAAATGAAGTGTTTTCTGCATACAAATCCTGCTGCACTCCCAAAGGGCTGCTTGGAGTTGCTTTTCACAGGGCGGTCACATTCATCTCTCCACTGTATGCTGGACCTATCAGTGACAAACAGATCATGCGAGAGTCTGGAATTCTCTCCCTTTTGAGACCTGGGAGGGCCATCATGGTCGACCAAGGTTTTTTGTTGATGACTCTGTGCCGTGTAGGATCTATAGGCCGGTATTTCTTTCTGGCAGATCCCAGATGTCTGCCAGTGAGGTCAGGGAGAACCAGTCCATTTTTATCTGAATCAAACCTTCAGTTTGTGTTGTTCAAAACTTTTTGGTAGGATTGGGATACCTTTGATCCAGAAAACTGGGATTATTCTGATCCCAGCAGAAAGGTGGATTCAGGCTGGATTTAATTACAAAATGTAACAAAACTTTCAAATGAGTCAAATATATATATACATTTATTTGTATTTTGCACATGATTTGTTTAACTGTTAGGCGATAAAGTACTTAAAGTAGACATTAGACTACCTATTAGGCTTTTTGCCAAGGTAAATTTAAAAAAAGTATTTTGTCCCCATGAAATAATAGAATTATAGGCTGGTGAATTTATTTATATGAGACATCCTGTTTCTCACAGTGCAAATGCAAGAGCTTTCATCAGTGGGCCACAGGTGCAGTTAACATTGTGTTACTTCATTCAGTTATCTTATCTTATTATATAATGACGAAAACTCTGTCTGTGGGTGTGTCTGTGGGTGTGTCTGTTCCACGTTTTTCTCCTCACTGACTTGGTCAATCCATGTGAAATTTGGCACAGTGGTAGAGGATAATGGGAGGATGCGAATGAAGCAATATTACACCAATTGGCCAACGGGGGGCGCTATAGCAACCAATTGAAATTGCAAACTTTGAATGGGCATATCTCATGCCCCATACAGTACAGGCCAAAAGTTTGGACACACCTTCTCATTCAATGCGTTTTCTTTATTTTCATGACTATTTACATTGTAGATTCTCACTGAAGGCATCAAAACTATGAATGAACACATGTGGAGTTATGTACTTAACAAAAAAAGGTGAAATAACTGAAAACATGTTTTATATTCAAGTTTCTTCAAAATAGCCACCCTTTGCTCTGATTACTGCTTTGCACACTCTTGGCATTCTCTCCATGAGCTTCAAGAGGTAGTCACCAGAAATGGTTTCCACTTCACAGGTGTGCCTTATCAGGGTTAATTAGTGGAATTTCTTGCTTTATCAATGGGGTTGGGACCATCAGTTGTGTTGTGCAAAAGTCAGGTTAATACACAGCCGACAGCCCTATTGGACAACTGTTAAAATTCATATTATGGCAAGAACCAATCAGCTAACTAAAGAAAAACGAGTGGCCATCATTACTTTAAGAAATGAAGGTCAGTCAGTCCGGAAAATTGCAAAAACTTTAAATGTGTCCCCAAGTGGAGTCGCAAAAACCATCAAGCGCTACAACCAAACTGGCACACATGAGGACCGACCCAGGAAAGGAAGACCAAGAGTCACCTCTGCTTCTGAGGATAAGTTCATCCGAGTCACCAGCCTCAGAAATCGCAAGTTAACAGCAGCTCAGATCAGAGACCAGATGAATGCCACGCAGAGTTCTAGCAGCAGACCCATCTCTAGAACAACTGTTAAGAGGAGACTGCGCGAATCAGGCCTTCATGGTCAAATAGCTGCTAGGAAACCACTGCTAAGGAGAGGCAACAAGCAGAAGAGATTTGTTTGGGCCAAGAAACACAAGGAATGGACATTAGACCAGTGGAAATCTGTGCTTTGGTCTGATGAGTCCAAATTTGAGATCTTTGGTTCCAACCGCCGTGTCTTTGTGAGACACAGAAAAGGTGAACGGATGGATTCCACATGCCTGGTTCCCACTGTGAAGCATGGAGGAGGAGGTGTGATGGTGTGGGGGTGTTTTGCTGGTGACACTGTTGGGGATTTATTCAAAATTGAAGGCACACTGAACCAGCATGGCTACCACAGCATCCTGCAACGACATGCCATCCCATCCGGTTTGCGTTTAGTTGGACGATCATTTATTTTTCAACAGGACAATGACCCCAAACACACCTCCAGGCTGTGTAAGGGCTATTTGACCAAGAAGGAGAGTGATGGAGTGCTGCGGCAGATGACCTGGCCTCCACAGTCACCGGACCTGAACCCAATCCAGATGGTTTGGGGTGAGCTGGACCGCAGAGTGAAGGCAAAGGGGCCAACAAGTGCTAAATACCTCTGGGAACTCCTTCAAGACTGTTGGAAAACCGTTTCAGGTGACTACCTCTTGAAGCTCATGGAGAGAATGCCAAGAGTGTGCAAAGCAGTAATCAGAGCAAAGGGTGGCTATTTTGAAGAAACTAGAATATAAAACATGTTTTCAGTTATTTCACCTTTTTTTGTTAAGTACATAACTCCACATGTGTTCATTCATAGTTTTGATGCCTTCAGTGAGAATCTACAATGTAAATAGTCATGAAAATAAAGAAAACGCATTGAATGAGAAGGTGTGTCCAAACTTTTGGCCTGTACTGTATGTCATAGAGACATGAAACTTTGCACAGAGATGCCTCTCCTCATGAGGAACAAATTTGCCTCAAGAACCCATAACTTCCGGTTATATAGATTTTCTGCCATTTAGAATTTTTTGAAAAACACTTTATTGGTACCTGACCCTATTTTATAGGCCTCTGCTCGAAAATTGCATATCCATAATGAAATGAATATATCTCTGCAACCACAAGGTCTATTTGAATACTTTTGGTGTCATGGTAAAGGGAACACTTGTGAGATTTGTTAAGATGTGTAAATATCAGTATATGTGTTATATGTGAAGAGTAAATGAAGATGGCACACAGCACAAATGAAATATTTTGAGGTTCGCCTAAAAAAAAAGAGCATTTTTAGGATGAGTATCCCTTTGGAATGATGCAGCAGCAGCTCTAAACCTCTATCACATCATAGTACAATATGTGAACATTAACTCTGCAAAGGTTGATTCTGATAAAGTGAAGCAGAACAATATAAGAGAGGTTTTAGTACAGAAAATTCAGACGAGCTCTCCAAAACTGCATCATGTTTGCATGTGATTTTTGTCATGTACATTCTAATATCTTTCATTTTTTGTTTCTGTAAATCACTACTGATGTTTAGGGTATACACATAGAACTGTCTGTTTCATTTTTTTTCCTCTATATCCCACTCCAAACTGACCTACTACATTTGGACCTGTTTCTATTCTGAGCTTTGGAGGCACATATCTCCGTGACGGCTTGGCCGATTTGAGTGATTGACACCTTGTTTGATTCGTTAGAGCCAATAGAATGACGCTATACCCAGAGCCAGCAGAACGCGTTGTGGGGCGATGTCGGCTGCTGTGAGCAGTCATTGTTTTTGTTCCCCCGGAACCTTTTTTTTCCACCCGGATTCATTTGAATCGGTAGTACGCGAACGGTGCGTGAATGAACAGCAGAATGCGCATTTTACGGCGAAATTAATAGGATAAGAGCCATATTACAAATATATTTTGGCAAAGAGATTTCTGTTGTTCTTTGGGCTGTAGCTCTGTGATGGTTAAAGGGAGAGTGATTTGGAGTATACATGTGGAAAGAGTGGAGTCTCAGCTTTCATTTGAGATGAATGGTGTATTTTTTTAATAACGTGGTCAAGTTAGAACCCGAAATATACCGAGTGGGTCGGTATATCGGTGCTGTTGGAGTTAGTTGTGGCTCATCACATAAAGGTGTATAACATCTCAAGGGTTTCACCGATCACCACGCAACTTTGTAGGCATATGACCACACATAATCTGAGGGGACCCCTCCATTATTGACCCGATCAAACAAAATGGGGGCGCTAGAGAGCTAATTTCTTATCTAGGCCTACCCGCCATATC